TTAAATAACATTCATATGCAGACCTTGACAATATTAGCAGATCTTAAAATCTTCTCCATTATTTAATTAAACCAGAAGACCTTTCTCCATCAGAATTAAATTTGTAGTAACTTCTAATAAAATTTTCTCTAAACTTAAAATAATATTTTAACTTCACAACTCTAAAAATATTATTTAATTTAAAATTAATAGCATGCTTGAAATCTTGAAACATACGTTTATTATATAAATCTCCAACATCCATATCTCACCAAAATGCACAAAACAACATAGATGTGAGACGATCAACGTATATATGTTTATCTCGTTGTAGTAGTGTTAAAAGTTTCCTTTAAATATTACGTTGAAAATTTGAGGAGTAGATTCGATTACACTCGACAAGGCAAGGCAAGGCAATTAATTAAGTTTTAATTAAAGCAATTTGCAAACATCTTTTGTTAATTTAATTAACTTCTTCCCCAAAAAGGTTGAATCCCCAACTGTGACTCGACAGAGTATTTAATAGGACGTAAATTACGGTGTCACAGACACAGTAGGCAGGCCAAATACCGTTGCGCACAAGGAATCTGTCCACTTTTATCCCCATACTGTATTACCAAGATTCAAACCTTAGTCTCTTCTCTCAAATATTACGTACAGCTAATTCTGTCCTGGCTTAATTTAATTAACGTGAATAGTAGAGTGAAGTGAAATGATGATTTTCAGTCGAATAGAGGAAGTGCAGCACACAATTATATTGTATTTGGACTTGATCCATGTATCTGCCCTGTTTAATTGCCTAAATCCTATACTTCTTAGCTTAGTCTACCCGGCAATTATGTCATAAATGTAAGGAAAATAAAAACACAGAACCGGGCCCCATAATCTTGAAATGTTTGTAAAAATGCATGGAATCTAACTAAGCGATCACTTCTATGATGTCTCTATCAGCATAATACTTTTTAGTTTTCAATTTGTATAAAAATTTCTGGATCCATGCACCCAAGCAACAGTATAATTTTCCCAATGAAGACAAGTTTCTTCAACAAATAAAAACAATTCATGAAGAAAAACAAAATCCATGCATTAATTACCAAAAAAAAAATTTTTGCTTTTCTGCTTTTCTTTCCACGTTTATCGGCTTCAAACATTTAAGGAACTGACTGTTCATGTAAAACAAAACAGATATATATTTAAGGGAGACTTTAATTTCTTTTCATAATCTTCATCAACCACAAAATTGTCTTGCACCACAGCGCCTATCGGAATCCGAGAGAATTGAAAGGATTTCATTCATTATATACCACAGACTTCTTCGTCATGATTAAAAGTTATTTTTAAACTTTATGAATACTATTTTTTTGGATGAAAAAGAAAATTAAACTCGCATCCGCAGACAGTATAGGGGTGGGCACTCAAATAAAAAATGTCAATAGGCTTCTCCATTGGGAGTCAAACTTGCAACATTGTAGTTACCAAGTAACAACCGGACCAATTTAGTTGAGGTTGTCCCTGGTAAACCTTACTTTTGTATAATTACACAGAAATCACACATGAAAGGTAAACCATACTAAGGAAGATTTTGTAGGATTGACTTGATCAAAATGGTATTGATAATATAAGGATGAGAGTTTAGATATTGAACTGTCTCTGTATAGTTCTAAAGTGAATACTATACTAATAAACCCCCTCAAGCTGACGGTGGGCAAGGAACAACGCTCATCTTGACTCTTAATTCAGAAAATCACAGCACAGGTAGGGATTTAGTAAAAATATTAGCTACTTGATCTTTGGTTGAAAGGAAATTCACCTTGAGTTCACCAGTAGTAACACGTTCACGAACAAAATGCTAATCTATCTCTACGTGCTTAGTTCACGCGTGAAAAACTAGATTAACACTCAAATATGTAGCACCAAGATTATCATGTACACCAGATCATTGAAACATAATTAAGACACAGACCAAGCTCACGCAAAAAAGATTGGATCCAGCAACCTCTGCAGCAACATCAGCAAGAGCATTGTATTCCGCCTCCGTAGAAGAATGAGCAATGGTGCGCTGCTTCCTAGACATCCATGAGACCAAGTTTGAACCATGAAAGATAGCAAAGCTAGCTGTAGACCTCCTGTCAATCTGGCAACCAGCCCAGTCAGAATTAGAAAACGCATGAACTGTTATGTCTAAAGAGCTAGTTATCCGCAAACCAAGATTTAAAGTACCCTTAACATAATGCAGAACCCGCTTCAAACCTGCATAGTGATGTTGAGTAGGACTATGCATAAACTGACACAACCAATTAACAGCAAATGAAAGACCAGGTCTGCTAGTAACAAGCATTTACATTAAGGAACCAACCAACTACCTGTGAGAGGTAAGATCATATAGTAAAGTTGCATCATCTTTAGACCCTAGCATAGAAGCAAACATAGGGGTAGCCAATGGTTTACACGAATCCATACCTGCCTTACGTAGATCTTCAAGCATATACTGGCATTGAGACAAAATCATAGTATCATCAGTATAGGGCTTCAATGCCAAGAATGAATCGTGGTTTTCCAAGATCCGTAATCTTAAACTCAAAGGACAACTGATGTAAAAAATTATCAACCAACGCAGGATTATTGCCTAATAGCAAAATATCATCAACATACACAAGCATAGACAGACCTGGAAGTTTCATGACCCATCGCCAAATATATTACTTCTTCGGCCATGGAAGGAATTATCATGCTCAAGGTGGATTGGTCCCTGCTGAATCCATTAATCATATGCATTATTAAGAATTGGAGGTGCGGACGTGGTCGACGCAACAAACTCCGGAGGACAAGGGTTTGAACCATCAACAAACCTATACAGATTCTCTAGTCGTGCAATAACGGAACCAACTGTGCCTTCCAGAACAAAAAATTCATGGCAAAAAGCTTGATTGAAACGTAGTGATATGTGCCTGATGAAGCATATTCGGAGCAAACATCGGTTGAGCAGAAGAAATCTCAGTCACCGTGCGACTCGACGAAACTGTCTTACCACCATTACCGCCAGCAGAAGCATTAATATCGACCATCGGATCGATACCAAACTGATACCAGATGAGAGTTTAGATAAAAACTTTGTTTGTATATTTACGATAAACTGAATACAGGAAGATTACAAAATATATATACACGCAGAATCCTATTACAAACATAATAGACTTAAAAGAGCTCTAATGGGAATATTATACTAATAATAAGAACCAGTGTTGCAAAAATCGGGCCTAGGCGTCGATAATCGGCGCCTAGGCGCTAGGCGGTCGGACACCTAGGCGCCCGCCTAGGCGCTCTAGGCGTCGATTAATCGCTCTAGGCGCCTTAGGTGGTCCTCAAGCGCCTAGCGATTGTTTCAACCTTGATAAGTACAGAACTCATCAACCTCAAAAGTGACTTGCACCATAGCACCTATCATACTCCATGTGATTGCAACTTGATTTTTAATTAAAACGGAAAGAAATAAAAGGACTTAATTCATTTTATACCACTACACATACATCCTTTTTCATGATTAAACATATTCAAAGATGTACATTGATAATCCTCATTCCTGAGTAATAGCTCACGTGGAAAAACAAGGAGAATTGAAAGGACTTCATTCACCTACGATACTCTTAAGTGATGATTGCAACCTGGTCTGTGATTAAAATGAAGAGAATTCAAAAGATCCCATTCACCTATCTAATTCTAAATAGACTGAATGCTAGGTATGCTCTTAAGTGATGATTGCAACCTGGTCTGTGATTAAAATGAAGAGAATTCAAAAGATCCCATTCACCTATCTAATTCTAAATAGACTGAATGCTAGGTAAACTCCATTCTTAAGTAATACTTTACAAATTATAGGAATAAGGGTCAAATAGGCCATCGAACTGTACACGATAATGTAATTAGGTCACTGAACTGAAAAAATCAACAATTAGGTCCCTAAACTAACCAATTTCAAACAATTCTTCCAATTTCAAAGTTTCCAACAGGTTAACAGGTCATCCTCTCAAATTAATTATTTTCTTAAAAAATAAATTTTAAAAAATAATTATTTTAAATTTAAAAAAAAAAAAAAAAAAACAGATTCCGGCCAGTTTCTTCGTCTCCATGGCCGGAGACGAAGAAATTCTTCGTCTCCAGCAGTGGAGACGAAGAAACCGGCCGGTCCTGTTTTTTTTTTTTTTTTTTTTTTTTTTTTGTTTAAATTTAAATAATTAATTTTAAATTTTTATTTTTAAAAAAATAATTTATTTGGAAGGATAACCTGTTGACCTGTTGGAAACCTTCAGAATTGTTTAAAATTGATTAGTTTAGGGACCTAATTGTTGACTTTTTAGGTTCAGTGACCTAATTGAATTATTGTGTGCAATTGAATGACCTATTTGACCCTTATTCCCAAATTATATAAGAAATCTAAATTGTGTGACGAGTTCGATCAAAATGTATTGACAAAAATCAAATTCATGATCTTTTAGTATAAAATTTATGCACGACTCATTCAATCATCCCTTTCGGGACATTTGTAATTACAATTGACATAAATCACAATGGGAGTCTTTGTCGGATTTAAAACATAGGATTGGACAGGTCTGTTTGGGATAGATACATGATAGTACACTGCTCCTGTGAGAGGGAAAATTATACGTACTACTACATTACAGGTGTTACAATTAACCTGCCGCAAAAACGTAACAATTAAATTATAAAACAATATTAAGATTGGGTGGGGAGCCTTCTCTTTGTCATTTTATGTCAAGATCAGAGGGGCCCACCAAATAAAATTGTAAAATTTTTCTGCATTATATTCCTGATTCCATCACTGTACTGTGGGTCAACCAGTAAGAAATTAAAAGAATGTGAAAACCGTGCGTGGGTACGTCCTGTTCCCTCCCCCCTGGATGCCCTAGTTCCAGGTATGACAACACCATTCCCAGTTTTAAGTAGTATATATAATTGCCAAGTTCCTAAGAATTGAATTCTCATTGAAATCGATCGATCTGATATTATTACTGCAAGGCAAGCTAAGCTAGAATCAATTCAATGGAAGAGATTATCTCTTCATCTTCAATCCCTAATTCACTCCAAAAACGCATCCAATTCTTCCTCCACAACCGCCCTGAATGGTGGGTTTACGCCATTTTCTGGCAAGCCAGCAAGGGCGGCCACGGCCGCGTTGTGTTGTCGTGGGGGGACGGCCATTTCCGGGGAACCAAAGGCGTCGGGCCGTCGAGATCAAACCATCTTCAGCTCCAAAACAAGTTCGAAGGTGAAGGGTTGGTTGAAGGCAACGTTACTGAATACGCGGAGTGGTATTACATGGTGTCAATGACAAAGTCTTTTGCAGCTCCAGATGATCTCATAGTCCAAACGTTTGATTCGGGATCCTACATTTGGCTGTCGGACAGCAACCAAGTCCAGTTTTACCACTCCGACAGAGCCAAAGAAGCTCACTTGCACGGCATCAACACTTTGGTTTGCTTCTCAACCTCTGCTGGGGTTGTCGAATTGGGATCCTCGGATTCCATTCATGAGCACTGGGAATTGTTGCAAATTGGCCGCTCTATCTTTAACGCACAAACCCAAAACCAAACCCAAAGCCAAGATCTGTTCCCGTTTAGCCAAGATCTTAACCAATGTCTTTCCCCTATAGATTTCCGTCTTGGAGATCCTCAGGAGAAGGAGAAAGAGAGCAGGGCGGTGGATCTACATGGCCCGGATTCGGATATCAAGAAAGAAGTGCTTGTAATCAATGACCTCTCGCCGGACTCGGGTAATTCTGATTTCTTTGAAACAACGTTAACCCACCAATCCGGGATGAACAACATGGTCGGATCCAGAAAGCGGTCGAGGAAAGGAGCTCTGACCGGACGGGAAATGGCGATGAACCACGTGGAGGCGGAGAGGCAGCGGAGGGAGAAGCTCAACCACCGATTCTACGCCCTACGAAGCGTGGTTCCCAACGTGTCCAAGATGGACAAAGCCTCCTTGCTAGCTGACGCGGTCACGTACATCAACCGCCTAAAGGCTAAGGTTGAAGATCTGGAAAACAAACTGGGAACGCACGGCGAAAACCAGATGTCCAGGAAGCGAATCATGGAGATAATGCACGACGCTCAGAGCACCACCACGTCCACGGTGGACCACGTCATGGGCGGCGGCTCTCCGTTTGGGGCGATGGATGTTGAGGTGAAGATTATCGGGTCGGAGGCCATGATCCGGGTCCATTCTCCGGATGTGAATTATCCGGCGGCCAGGCTTATGAATGTGCTTAGAGAAATGGAGCTGAAGATCCACCACGCCAGCGTGTCCAGCGTTAGGGACTTGATGCTTCAAGATGTTGTGATTAGGGTTCCTGACGGATTGACCAATGAGGAAGATGCCCTAAAAGCTGTCATCCTTAGAAGATTACAGTCTTAATTATTAAGCAACCCCGCCTCAATGTCCTGCTCAGATCAGCTGCCATGTTTGCCTACTTTCTATGTTTGTAAGTTTCTTTTCTTTCATTTTCTTTCTCATTTAGGCAACAATAAATGTAAATTGCAGCCAACTTTCTTAGCTTGTTTTGTCTGGTAAAACTTGTCTTTTATAAAACTGGCCTTTTTTTTTTTTTGATGTGGATAATCTATTAATCTTACTCTCTTCCTATCATATGTTAATGTTAGTAGTAGATCAACACAATATAATCATCTTCCTAATTTATTAAGTTTTTTCTTAATCTTACACGGTCAATTTAATTGGTAATCATGTGGTAATTAAATCGTGAGCAAAAGCTGTGTTTATTCTTAATCAATAAGTATCCAAATATTTAGTAACTGTGCTACCAAATGCAGCCGAAATGTTGATGGAATCAAGTGATTTAAGGATGTTATCTTGTGCTAGATGCAAAGTGAATTAATTTTGTCTAGCCACTATCTATAGGAAGTTAAGATATACATGAATCTACTTTTTTTTTTTAGGGATCTCCTTGATTTTACCTTGATAATGCTGAAGCTACTGCTCCATTTTACGCATCTATAAAGTAAATATCAAGGCTATAAAACACAACTTTGTAAAACTACAATTCAAGAATAATTGGAATAACTCTTGACCGCTCTAAACTGATATGACTAATCTATTTCCGACCACTTTAATTACTATATAAGAGCTTGTAGAATAACTTTAGACAAAAACCAAGTCTCTACCGTGACTTTTATCTCTCTAGCATTACAAACTTGACAACTTGATTTGTTTCAAACTATATATTGTAAAAATGTCTTGTTTGAAAAGTGTAATTTCAAACTTTGAAATTCTAAAATAGGAATTGATGGATCACAACACTGCATTATGCTTACGCATGCTAAACCACGAAATTCTTTGGTTATCTAGTTGTCATGTCCATCTTAAAACCAATTGGTGATAAGTAGGCGAACATTAACCATTTAACCACCATCCATGGTAAGCCACAACGTCACGTCTCGAATTGAGTAGGGGCTGAGCTCGGCGGACACCCAACAATCCCCATCCCAACACCTGTGCAACCTTTGATCACAAAACCCAGTTGCACAGCATGCCTGAGCCAACACCTATCGCAATTTTTGATCATGTACAAGGTCCAGTTGCACAACATGCATGACTCAGTCCTTAGTCTCCACGCTCATTATCCCCCTCCCGGTAAGGATAACCACGATTTGGTTCGAACCGAATCGTGCACTACTGGAACCAGAATTGGAACCGAAACCATAATATTTGGAACCGAAACCGGACAGTTGGTCCGGTTCCAAACCGAAAAAATATAATAAAAAATTTAATTATTATTTGATTAAAGTTTAACTATTACTCCGTATTTGGTTAAAGTTTAAACTTTATATAACATTTTATAATTTAACTATAAGAATTATTTTTTTATAGTTTAACTATTTCATATAACCATTTTAAAAATATTTTAGAATTGAAATTTTCTAAAATAAAATTTAATTATTGAATTTAGACAATTTTAAAAATAAAAAATATAATTTACAAAAAAAAAACAAAAAAACAAACAAACAAACCCAGTTCGAATTGGAACCGGTGGTTCAAACCAGAACTGCCGATTCCAAAACCAGATGTGGAACCTATATACGTAATTCTGGAACTGGAACCAAACTGTGGGCATACCTACCTCTCAGGACTAGACTTGACCCGACATACACCCATCCTATCTGGGACTACACGGCCGGCGCCCAACAATCCCCTCCTAGCACCTGTCACAACCTTTGATCACAGAGCGCAGTTGCGCAGCATGCTTGGGTCAACACATATTGCAACCTTCGATAAAGCTCAGTTGCACAGCATGTCTAACTTGATCTATAACTTCTACGCCCATTATCCCCTCCCTGGGACTGGACTTGGCTCGACGTATGGCCATCCCAACCAGGATTGGACTCAACTTTCACCTCGCCATTGATTCGAACCCGTGACCTCGGCTTTGATACTAATTGTTGGATCTCAGCGATGTACTATACTTACATTCTAGTAGGTCACCTATCCTGTAAGTCAAGCATGCTTAACCACAAAGTTGTTTGGTTATCTAGTTGATTGGTATATCCTTCTTAAAACTAATTGGTGCTAAGTATGTGAACATTAACCATTTAACCACATCTCTTCATGGTAAGCCACAATGTCACGTTTTGAATCGAGCAGGGGCTGAACTCGATCGACACCCAACAGGAATATATAGCTCGCAAACCATAGCCTAAGAAAGTGTTGGCAAGAACGATGTCATTGAGATACGAAAATAATGTTATATATATAGTTATTTTATCTAACTATGCAAAACAAGAATACATCAATTATATTATACAAAATTTATTAAATAATAAACCATTACGTTGATTCATTGAGTGATTTTGCCTCTGATTGATATTAGGGTTTACCTTCGATTGGTTCTTTCTCGTTGGCTGACCATTTTTGTAATGTAGACTAGGTCTAATTACTTTAGGTCCATTCTGATTAACACTTTTAACATGTCTCAGGTTGCCATGCATGAAATTTCCTTTCGTAGGTTCCATAGAACATTGTACAACCTTTCCTTTGGAATTGCTTGTCGTTTATGGTGTTATACCCTTATCAATCTGGGTTATTGGCTCGGGCAACTGGGAAGGATCTGTGGGTTTGATCGACAAAACTTATGAATGAGAGCTTGGGTCATAGCCAAGTCCGGCTTTCTCCCCAATTGGTCTTTGATTGTTCACCATTCGATATATTATCTTAGATGAATTTGTGAACGATGCAATGACCTCACACAAATTATGCTCTCTTATTTCTCTTGATGTGCACTGCTCTTTAAGAAGATGAACTTGCTTTTCGAACTAATCAATGGTGATGACTAGCTCGATGTTTTTAATTCTAACGCGTCTGAGCTCTTCATAATTGATCATGAGTCGAGAGTTCTCTGCTTTCAACTTAGAGTATGTGATTTTTACAACTTTAAAGTCCCTCATCATTTTCACAACTGAATTAATGGAACTTTCTTCACCTTCTGAACTAGATTCAACTTGGGTAGATGAAGAGGATTGAGAACTTACCTCGCCATCTTTCGGCATTAAGCATAAGTTGTCATCACTTTCTTCTTGACTGAATAGGCATAAGAGTCATTTTTCTTCTTCTGAACTTTCACTCTCTGAACTTAAGCTCGAAGCGCTCAGCTCTGGTTCAGCCACATCATTTGACTCATTTACGACCATTGCTTTTCGCCTCATATCATGCCTTGACTAATTAGATTTGGGTTTAGCATTCTTCTTGCTCGAGTCAGCAATAACTTTCATTTCTTTTGTAGCACTCGTGCTTGGCTCTTTGTCCTGATATTTGTGGACCATGAGATGAGGATAATCTACTTTGAAGTGTCCTGGCTTTCTATAGTTGTAGCATAGCACTTGAGCCTCTTCTTGCTCTTATTTCTTGGGATGAGGTGATCTTTCGGTAAACCTTCGGCTTGAAGAATTTGGGGGTGTTTGAAATTCTTGAAAGTTATTCTTCCTCATAAACCTTTTAAATTTTCGCACAAACAAAGTAAACTGCTCGTCAGATAAGAAATCAGAGGGGTTAGAATTTGACCTGCTAGTCGAGGCCGATTTCTGGTTTGCGACAAGAGCAATATTTCTTGTTTCTGGTTCTTCAGAGCTCTTAGGTTCATGCTCAAACTCGTAGGCTTTTAGATCACAGAAGATTTGCGAACTTTGGACTGTTTTCATATCTCTGTGATCTCTCATGGCTGTCACCTTCATCTCCCACGATTTAGGAAGTCCACGAAGTATTTTCAGGTTGATCACCTTTCAGGTTGGTTCATTTCCTAAATCTGATATTTCTCCTAGAAGTTTCGTGAAACGAAGCTCCATTTGACTTATCGTCTCATTAGGATTCATCTTGAAATCTTCGAATCTTTTCATAGTCATGGTGAGCTTATTCTACTTCTCTTGTTCATCACCTTCTCCAACATCCATGATTGTATTCCAGATTTCCTTGGCCGTAGTGCATTTCCTCACTCTTGGAAACAACGATTCATCCAGAGACTTATATAGGATGTCTCGTGCAACATTGTGGAGGTTTGCTCTAGTTTTCTCCTCTGAGGTGAGTTGAGCCTTCGATTTTGGGATCATTTGATCAGCATCAGCACCCTGAGCTGCTGCATGAGGATTGACCATCATAACCGCGATTGGTCCATCAGTGATCACATCCCACATTTCATCATGAATAGCTGACAAATGAGCCTGCATTCGTACCTTCCAATCGTCAAACTTAGATAGAATAAAAGCAAGAGGTCTAGATCTGTGACTATGGTCATTTTCCATTTTTGAAAATTTTGTGCAAAAGTAAAACAAGAATTTTATGAAATTTTTGAAATGGATTGTTAGGAATAAATTGTAATATATTTTGATATGCCATATTGTAAATCGTAGAACCCCAATTTTATTTTGGTTAGACTAGTCGAGTCATAGACCAAGAAAGGGAAAAATAAATTCATTAGTTGAGGAAATGGATGAAGAAGATATAAAGCCTAAAATTAAGAATTTGCCTAGTGAAAATGGCAAACAGAAGAGGAAGATGTATGCGTATGACGAAGTATACACAAGTTATGAAGACTATCATCCTAAGAAGAAATCTCTCAAAGAAATTCAAGAAGAAATCCCTCAAGAAATCCCGAAGAAGAAAGAACGTGACTTGAAGTTTGCATGAAGCTATCTTGAAGATCAAGCATCTATAGAAAGAAAGTAGTATACCAAGTGAAACAAGATAATGACTAAAAGGTTGTACGGACGAGTTGGTAAAAGTTTGAAATATTATATATAAGGTCATAGGTTTGAATCTCACATCTCACATATTTTAAAGAAGCCAAGTTTAAATCCATCAGATGAAGTTTGGGCGAATTGAAGGGATGAAGTATCTCAAAATTGAAATAGGGATGCAATTTCAAATTGATGGGATGAAGTTCACACTTGCGGCAAAAGTTTCAAATTGATGGGATGAAGTTCACACTTGCGGCAAAAGTTTCAATTAGATGGAAGGGCTGCAAAGAGCTTCAATTTAACGGCCCAAATCAATCAAATCAATGAAGGGATGA